TTCGTTATTGTACCTAAATCAAATTATAAAAAATTGAATTAAAAAATTACACAAAAATGAGTAATTTTAAATAGTTAATTTGATACTAATATCGATATATTTTATTCAAACTTATATTTTATTCAAAAATAAAAACATCATCGCTTTCTCAAAATCACATACGACCATATTATAACATCGAAATAAAATAAAATATTAAAATCAAGATATATCTTGCTGCATTGCGCGAGTACCCTTCTAATATATATATATATATATATATATATGGGGGGGGGGAACGATCAAATGAAAACCACTCAATTTGTAAAAACCGTAAAAACCTCATTCAACCAATCATAATTTTTCATTTTGTTCATTTTTTTTGTAATTATAAGAGGTTGATTAAACATTTTTATTGTGGAGGTGTTAATCGTGGATATTATCATCTTCATTATTTTAATTTTAGAGAACTACATGAAACAGTTTCATTAAAATTTCATTAAGTAGTATATGAAACAATTTCATAACCATATATGAAAAAACTTCATCAAAAAAAGTATTATATGAAACAATTTCACAAAATTAAACAATTTAATGAAAAAATTTCATAAGATTAAACAATGAAATTAACGGATGAGGGTGGTTTGAACGGTTTTTACAAATTGGAGTGGTTTTCATTTGATCACTCATCTGTATGGGTTCAAATAAAAAACCACTCAATTTGTAAAAACCGTGAAAACCTTATTCAACCAATCATAATTTTTCATTTTGTTCATTTTTTTGTAATTATGAGAGGTTGATGAACCATTTTTATTGTGGAGGGTGTTAATCATGGATATTATCATCTTCATTATTTTAATTTTAGAGAAATACATGAAACAGTTTCATTAAAATTTCATTAAGTAGTATATGAAACAATTTTATAACCACATATGAAACAACTTCATCAAAAAAAGTACTATATGAAACAGGTTCACAAGATTAACAATTTCATGAAAATTTTTCATAAGATTAACGATGGATGAGAGTAGTTTTTACGGTTTTTACAAATTGGAGTGGTTTTCATTTGATCGCTCTTTGTGTGTGTGTGTGTGTGTGCGCGCGCGTGTGTGCGTGCGTGCATGCGTGCGTGTGTGCATGTGTATGTGTGTGTGTGTGTTTCACAAAATTGTTTAATATTAAGAAATTGTTTCAAATAATTCTTTTTATGATGAAAATGCTTCATATATTTTTGTTTCTATGTAAAACTAAATTGTTTCATATATTTCTCATTTTGAAGAAATTTGTTTACTAAAAATAATAGAATTAACATTAAATGTCTATAATTATTTCAAATGAACTATCTGAAACAATTTCGTTATAAATATATATATATAGGTAGGTAGAAGTTCAAACGAGAACACCTCAATTTTACGAGAACGTGAGAACACCTTTATCACATGTGATACTACGCGTAAGGGGACCTTGTAATGTGTGGACGACGTGTTCTACGACTTAGGCTGCGTCAAAGGTTGTTTGTGTCTATGATTTAACATCACATGTGATGGTATTGATGAACTATAGTATCATATCAACAACACCCTTATCACATGTGATAATACTTATGAGGGGGCTTAGTGGTGTAGGGTGACTTAGCCCGCAGCCAAGATCGCATCGAAAATCGTCCGCGTCTCTGATTTAGTATCACATATGTGTTATATGTGATTGTCTATAGTAAATGTGTGTTCTCACGTTCTTGTAAAATGAAGGCGTTCTCGTTTGAACCATTCCCTATATATATATTAGAAGAGTACTCGCGCAATGCAGCGAGACACATCTCGATTTTAATGTTCTATTTCATTATTTGTCAATGTCGATGTTATAATACGATTTTATGTGTTTTTAAAAAAGCAATAATGATTTTATTTTTTAATAAAATATAAATTAGAAAATATCATAAAAATTTGAAAAAATAATATATTAATGTTAATATCAAATCAATTATTTAAAAGTTCTTATTTTTTATGTAATTTCTTTAATTTATATTTTTTATTATAATTTAATTTAAGTTTAATAACGAAATAATTTATTTTTAGTTTAATAATATAACATTTTATAAAGATAATAATTAAGTATTCTGTTAGAACTCAATGATGATCCTAATTATATTTTAGATTTTTTATATTTAAAATAAGATGTTTATCTTGTATTTGATTATGTTTATCTGCAGTTAGTTACACGAATTCTGATATGAGGCTTTAATAAGTTGTACTTACGCA